CTGCATAGCAAGTTCCAGGCTAGCCGGAGCTACACAGAGAGACCATCTTAAAAATAAGCTAATGTAGGGGTGACAGAGGTAAACTGACATTGACCTGTGGCCTCTGCACAGGTATACACGTGAGTGGATGCATCACCACACATGTATCTGCATATGCAAACACATGCTTACACAAAGGAACACAGAGATAACGGAGCAAGTGGAATTTCCTCACAATCATAAATGTCAGTTCCATCCTCAAACAAGTAGAGAAGGTGGTAATTTGGTGGGACAGAAAACAACCCAGCCATCAATAGTTTTTGTTCTCATGAACATCAGCCAGGAGATAGAGTGGGAGAGAAAATACCATTTATACAGCCAGTAAAGACAGAACACTTAATAAACCTAGTGAGGCCCAGAGAAGACCTCTGTGGCATGGAACTGAGACACGTATGTCATCCACTCCACAGACAAAGATCAAAAAGCAGGATGTGGCAACATATGCCTATACTCACAGCACTGGGAAGGCTGAGGCAGGAAAATTATGAGTTTGAGGCTAGCCTGGGATACTTAGTGTCTAAAGTAGAAAAGAAGCAGACACAGATCGATGGAAAGTGTATTTGGATGATCAGACATCCTGACAGTGTCTATTGCTTTCCCTAAATTAGTTTACACAGCAAAGCGGATCCTGGTTAGCAATATCAGCAGCAAGCTTGCTTCCGGATGGAAGGAAATCAGTGCTTAAATTCAGATTAAAAGCAAGTGTGGGCCAGGAGCTGTCTCCGCTGGTTACGTACTGCTGAATGGAGATAGGGGCCTGACTTTGCATTCCCAGAATCCATGGTTTGTTTGTTTGTTTTTTAATGCCAAGTTTGATGGTTCTCCTGCATAATTCTAGCATTGGAGAGACAGAGACAGAAGATTGCTGGAGCTCACTGGTGAGCCAGCCTTGACAAATCTGTAAGCTCTGGGTTCAGTGAAAGACCCTGTCTCAAAAAGTAACACAGCAAAGTGGTAGAGGAGAACACCAGATGAGGACCTGTGGCCTTCATACACGCATGTTCACACATGCATGAACACGTACAAATATATAACACACGCCCAACACACACACACTACACACATACCACACACTTGTCTGTGCGCACATACACACAAATATACATAGACATTCACACCACACAGACATCACAAACAAGCCCTCCACACACTCACCTGTACACACATACAAGCACACTACACACTTGCACACACACACACACACACACACGTAAATGTGAAAGACAGCCAAATAGAACAGAAAAGAAAGTTCAGAAGGCCCTGAATGCATATAGAGTTGGTAAGTGGCAAAGACTGAGCTGTAAAATGATTGGTGTCAGGTACCTGGCTGGGCTGGTGACATAACTTGGTAGGGTGCTTGCCTAGCATGTAAGAAAGCCTGAGTTCAACTCATATATACATTTAAGTTGAAAGGGGAAGAGTTGGGGCGGACAGTGGCAAGCAGTGGTGGACACACCTTTAATCCCAGCACACCAGAGGCAGAAGCAGGTGGATCTCTGTGAGTTCAAGGCCAGCCTGGTCTACAGAGTGAGTTCTAGGACAGTCAGAGCTACACAGAGAAACCCTGTGTCGGGGGAAAAATGTGGGGAAGGGTTGGGAAAAGAAAAAGAGTCAACAGGAATGGAAAGAGGACAAGAAAGAGTAGAGAGTGAATACATTACATACATGCATGAAAATGGCACAGTGAGACCCATTATTATAATTAACATATGCTAATTAAACCATAAAAACATAAATGTAAAGGGTTTAAAGATGAAACTGGAACCATGGAGACTAGTGACCTCCGACCTCCATAGACACCTGAAGCGTGTGTAACTTCCTGATGGCTCATATGGCTGACTGTATGTAGTGTTACCTACTAAGTGGCAGCCCCTAAATCATACCTGATGAGCTGGAAGTGTCTGCACACACCCATTGGCATATCTGACTGATCAGTTTATTGATTTGTCCACACCATCAAGACACAGTTGGGCCAGGGGGTGGTGGCGCTAGCCTTTAATCCCAGCACTTGAGAGGAAGAGACAGGAGGTCTTTCAGTTCCTTGTGTTGTGCTCCCTCCACTCATGGTTGGTCACACAGGCTCCGGCCCTAAGCCTGGTCCATGGCTATTTTAAGATAACATATCTTTATACAGAAGTATTATCTCTGTGTTGGCTGCCTTCACAGCAAATGCCAGCTGAGCTTCAGTTCTTGATTCTCAGCCTGTTAGAGGCTCAACAAAACTCAGGTGAGAGAGTCCCTGTGTTTTCTCATAGCTTGATAATTTCCCCTCTCTCTATTCAGCCTCACAAGGAATTGACTGCCTTCTCTCAGTTGGCTAGCAATGTCAGCAATAAATCCCAGAATGCAGTTTCTGAAAGGGACATGAATCCTAGGTGTACATCATACAGCCCCTGCAAGGGTGGCTCGACCTCTGGTTCAGGTTGTCCCCTACTTGGTAGCCTCTCTGGGCTCCAACTCAAAGAAAGACCCAGTGTTGGAATCTGGTCCTCCAAATCTGTTAGAATCTCTTTCGAGTGAGTTTCCAGCTTTTTGTCTGGCTCTTCTAGAATCAACTAACCCCTGGGGGAAAATTCCTTAAACATTAGGCTGTGTGGGATTTATTCTTTAACACCCCCCGCCCCCCGTTCATTGCCCCCATCAGATTTTACTGCTAAATCAGCACAGGAGCAGAACAGATTCTCGCTCCCTCCTCCCTCCCTCCCTTCCTTTCTCGGTACTGAGCCTCCAGGATCGCTCTCCTCCCCGATGTGGCTTAATTTATTTATTTTTTAATGTGAGTTCTGGTGACCAAACTCAGCAAGCACGTCACCTACTGAGCTGTATCACTGGTTCCCTCTCCCCTTTCTTTTTATTTTCTTTCTTTTTTTTTTTCTTTTTTGATTTTCCAAGACATATCCCTATGCTACCAGGCCCAGGTAAAGTGTAAAAATTACAACAAGAACAACAACTTTTTTTTTTTTTGTTCTTTGAGACAGGGTTTCTCTGTGTAGCCCCAGCTGTCCTGGAACTCACTCTGTAGACCAGGCTGGCCTCGAACTCAGAAATCCGCCTGTCTCTGCCTCCCAAGTGCTGGGATCAAAGGCGTGCACCACCATTGCCTGGCAACAACTTCTATTATTATTATTTTATTATTTGTGGTGCTAAGGAGAGAATCCAGGGAATTGGCAAGGACTTCACCCCTGATCACATCACTCCCAGCCCATCTGTATTTTTGAAGCAGGGTCTGACTATGTAGCCTTGGCTAGCCTGGAACTCACTATGTAGACCAGGCTGGCCTCACACTTGTAGAGATCTACTTGCCTCTGCCCCAATGCTGTAATTAAAGGCTGTCATGGGGTACTCACAAGAGAAGACTGCTCAGACATTTTTTTTTTTGAGACAGGGTTTCTCTGTGTAGCCCTGGCTGTCCTGGAACTCACTCTGTAGACCAGGCTAGCCTCGAACTCTCAAACCCAGAAATCCGCCTGCCTCTGCCTCCCAAGTGCTGGGATCAAAGGCGTGCGCCACCACCGCCTGGCCTCAGACATGGTTTAAGACAATAGAAAAATCTTTTTGTTTGTTTGTTTTTGTTTTTTGTTTTTTGGAAACAGGGTTTCTCTGTAGAAAAATCTTTATTAGCTGGCTAGTGACTATACTGGGTGATGGGATCCTAGTGTAGCATTGAGCTTTTTTTCTCCAGGTGAGTTTTTAAGCACTAAAACCATGTTGTGAGTTGACGTACAGTTGGACAGTTGACCAGAAGCAGAACTACAGAAGCTGGAAAGCAAGGTTAGTACATGTTGAGAATTTCCCAGAACTATATGGACTGTGCTGGATTAGACCCTTGTTTTAGTTTTGGCAGATAGTGCTGTTTATGTGGTAAGTTTCACAGCCTGAAGAGTCCTTCCAACATGGAGTCAGTGTGCTAAGGGCTGGGGCACTGTTACAAGCCCAACGGCAGCTATGCCCCACCCTTCTTACATTACTTCTTCACCACTTCACACACACACACACGAGACGTACAACTGTTGTTTTAAAATGGCACACACGCTATTCTTTTGCTTTCATTTTTCCTTTCCCAAATCTTGATTTTTTTGGTTTTTTTTGTTTTTGTTTGTTTTGTTTGTCTTGTTTGTTTGTTTTTTGGTTTTTTGAGACAGGGTTTCTCTGTGTAGCTCTGGCTGTCCTGGAACTCACTCTGTAGACCAGGCTGGCCTCGAACTCAGAAATCCACCTGTCTCTGCCTCCCAAGTGCTGGGATTAAAGGCATGCACCACCACTGCCCGGCTCCAAATCTTGATTTTTAAAAAGTTTTTATTTACTTATTTAGAGTGTGTGTGTGTGTGTGTGTGTGTGTGCGTGTGTGTGTTTGGAGGTCAGAAGACAACTGGTGGGAGTTGGTTTTCCTTCCGACTTACGGATCCTGGACATCAAGCTAACGTTATCAAGTTTTACAATAAGCCATTTTACCGTCGGAGCCATCTCATTGAACTTTTTGAATTTCAAGAAGACCCCGAGTTTCTGATCCTCCTGCCTCCATCTCAAATCCCAGCATTTGGTGCTTGGATTATAGGCTACAATAGCGTCTGTTGTCAATTTAGTCTGGCTTCGAACTCCCTACACAGCGGAGGATAGCCTTGAACTTCTAATCCTCCTGTCTCAGCTTCCTTAGGGCTGGGAAGAAAGGCGCGCACCTCCAAACCTGGCACCCCACGCATTTACTAGCTTTACCATGCTGGAATTCTCTGAGCGGTGTTCCATCTGCACAGCCCAGCATCTGCGGCCAGAATTGGGCCGCACGTGCCCAAGCCACCGGGAGTTGCCCTGGCAACTGCCTGCGCTCTCGGCTCAGAGAGATGACGCCATATCCTGCGCCAGGGCGGCGCCCGCCCATGCGGCGGCCATTGGATGAATAAAAGACGGACGGAGGCCCGGTCCAATGGATAGCGCCGATCTTCTGAGGGCGGGACGGCGCGGAACCTGCGGAGCTGGTGGTGGAGGCGCGTGGCAGAGGTGTGCGAGAGTGGGAGCTCCAGGTGCGTGGTCAGCCGGTGCTGGCGGGGAGGGGGGTAGCAGCCGCCCGGGGAGACGGCGTCCTGGGCCCAGCTGAAGGTCTCTGCCCAGCCCTCCCCGTGGATCTCCAGAGATCCATTCAGCCACCCACCTACCCATTCACCCCTATGAATACATCCGCCTTCTTAGCCATACGCCCACCCCTCCGTCTACTTAGACATCCATCCACTTCTCTACCCAGTTGTCCAGCCTCCCACCTACCTATTCACCCAGCCAGCCAGCCAGACACCCACCCATCCATTCATCCACATCCCTCATCCATCCACACACCCGTGCACGCAACAGTCCTTCCATGTGTACATTCTTACAAGTTGGGTGTGGTGGTACATAGCTTTGGTCTCAGTGTCCTGGAGGCTGAGGCTGAAAAATAGCTGCTAGCTCAGATCCAGCCATGTCTTCCAAATGAGACTCTTAAAAAAAAAAAGATTCTTTGAGTTCCTTTTATGTATTGGTGTCACACAAGGCTCTGGAACGGAACTGAGGACAGAATAGGAATCCCAGATCTAGGGAGCCCGGTTTTAGACTGGAGAAGATCTCTTATTAGTGGTTTTAGGTACCATAGAGGCAACATTAGGGAGTGTGTTTCCTTCTTTGAGTTTGTTGAGGCATAGTCTTTCTGGTTTCTGCTGCTGCACTGTGTACCCCAGGTGTATTCTCCGGTCTCTGCTTCCCATTTCACCATAGACTGCGTCCAGCTTTTTATGTAAATCCCTGGAATCAAACTCATATCGTCAAGATTGCATGGCAAGTGCTTTTACCCACCAAGAACTAGCCCTCTCTCTTCTTATTTTGTTGCTGCATGAAACAGTCAGCATCTCTGGTTTTCATTTCCTAAAGGACTAGTGAAGTTGGGCATCTTTTCATGTTCTTCAGTGTCTGCTCAAGACCTTTGCCCATTCTAAAATTTGCAGTGTGTGTGTTCCCCAGAAGCCATCCACCTTGTATTTTTGTGACAGTGGCCTGGAACTCACCAGTTAGGCTAGGCTGCGATGGAACTAGGGTTGTCAGGCTCAGTGGCAAGTGCCTTTACCTGCTGAGCCTTACTGCTGCCTCCCCCTCCCCCACTAATTCTTTTGTTTGGTTTTTGTTTTGTTTTTCCGAGAGAAGATTTCTCTGTATAACAAGCCCCGGCTGTCCTGGACTCCCTTTGTAGACCAGGCTGGCTTAGAACTCACAGAGGTCCATCCTCCCGCCTCTGCCTCTTGAGCTCTAGGATTAAAGGTGTGCACCACCACACCTGGCACCCAAATTCTTTCATCGTGTTATTGCCCGAGTGCTTCTGTGGTTGGCAGCGATGCATGCCTTTAATCCCTGGAGGCAGAGGCAAGTGGATCTCGTGAGTTTGAGACAAGCGTGCTCTACAGAGGGACTTCCAGAATTCCAGGGTTATGGAGAAACCATGTCTTGAAAAGCAGACAAACAAAAAAAAGCTCTTCTCAGGCTCTGCATGCAGATTGCATACATGCAGTGTGATGGGAAAACAGACACTGTCTACTCTTGCTGGCACTGTTCATTGTGAGAGGCTTTTAAATTTTGTTTTATTCCATTTTTTAAAAAAGTTGTTAATTTAGTGTGTTTGTGTGTGTGTGCGTAAAACCAAGTGTATGCTTGTATAATACCGTGTATGTGTGTGTGTGTGTGTGTGTGTGTGTTTTTGTGTGTGTGTAGGATCCTGTGGAGGTCAGAAGAGGCATCAGATCTCCTAGAACTGGAGTTCTAGTGAGTAAGAGCATTTACCACATCAGCTTGGTGACCTGAGTTCAATTCCTGGGACTTACATAAAAAGCTGGATGCGGTGGTGTGGATCTGTAATCTCGCCTCTCCTACAGTGAGATTCCAGGTGGGAACAGGAGAGTTCCAGGCAGCTGCGAGCCGCCATGTGGATGCTGGGAGAAACACAGGTCTTCTGCAGGAGTAGTAAATGCTCCAAACCTCTGAGCCATCTCTCTCGAACCTTTATATTCTATTTTTAATTGTGTGTGTGTCCGTGTGTCCGGAGGTGTTGGATCTGGGCCAGGAGTTGCAGTCAGTTTTGAGCTGCCTGATACGGGTGTTGGGAACTGAACTTGGGTCTTCTGCAAAAGCTTGTAACCACTGAGCCTCTCTCCAGTCAAGGACAGGAGTTTTTAGTTATGAGGTAGTCCAGTTTATTTTTCCTTAGACTATCTAGTTATTGGTATTTTATCTGAGAGACCATAGTGTTCTCCAGGGCCATGAGGGTTCATCCCTGGAAATTCTAACAATCTTAGGCTGGCCTGTTAAATCCAACTTTGCATGCCTGTTAATCCCAACTCTAAGGAGGCAGAAGAAGCAGGTGGATATCTGTGAGTTCAAAGTCAGCCTGGTCTATGTTGTGAGATCCTGTCTTAATAAACTGAAGTGTTTGAGGCTTGGCTCCTTTACAAGTGGGGATTGGTCCACCCTGTGCTAGTTCTGAGGCTCACACTCACTTCCGTTCATGGTGCTTCAGCTGTCCTCCAGCTGTTACTGGATAGATTGCTCTTTGAATTGTCATGGCACCCTTGTTGGAAGTCACCTGACCACAGACAACTGCAGATGCTGGCTAGAGCAAGCAGTCATTGCCTCAGTCAGAATTGCTGTCTCTGAGCACCTGGTAACAGAGAACCATCTCTTTCTTCTTTTTTGCAAATAGACTTCCTTATTAACTTTTTAATGCTAACTTCCAGGGTGAGCACAGGCCTCGCTTCTCTCCTAAGCGGCGTGTAAATATTTGCTGAACTTTCCTTATTTCTCTAACGAGGTAGTTGGCTGGCGTCACCACCCCTATTCCCAGTGTCCCTGTGTCAACATTCTCTCCTTTTAAGATTTCTTATTACATTGCTAATTGAAATTTGTAGCCTCTGGCTTCAAATATTCTTTTTTTTTTTTAAATGGAGGAGGCTTAATTAAAAAAAAATAGAGAGAGCTTGGAGTTTTCTGATTCTAGAATAATATAATATTATTTCTGTGTGCCACCATCACCAGTGACTGCCCAAATGGGATAGGGATGCCCTGATGCCTGCCTACCTGGGCTACAGGGCTGCGGGTCCACCACATCACACACGAGGGTTATATGACTGCAGATTTATTCTCTGGGGTATACACAACTTCTGAATCTCCCCCATCCTTCCCACTATGCTGAACTTCCTCCTTTTCTCTTCCTTTCTTTCCTTTTCTTTTTTGTACTAGAGATTGAATCTGTGACCTTTCTTTCTACCACTAGGTAGAAAGATCTCCAGCCTTACAATCATTTTCTGCTTTGTTTTGTTTTTTTAAAATTCTCACTTTTGAGTTCCAGGCTGGTCTTGAACGTCTTATGCTCCTCCTACTTCTGCCTCCTAAGTGCTGGGATTTCAGATGTTTGCCACCTTGTGCAGAGAGGCAGGCTCTTGCTGTGTAGTCTAGGATGGCCTGGAGCTGGTGACAATCCTGCTTCAGCCTCCCAGTGGCACGTGCCACCATCCCTGCCTTGCATGTTGGTTGTTTTTACATCGTGGGTTTCTGTGTCTTCTGCTGTGAGAGGAGGTAGACCGTAGGCTTGCATTCGTCTCAGCGCCTCAGGTCTAGCTTCATTCAGTCCTTAGGAGTGTCTCTGGGCTCTGCACCAGCTTGGAGAACGCCTCGGGCCCCTCAGGGTCTTTCAGCCTCTCTTATGATTGGGGCATAATACTGGTCATAGTGCATAGGGATGTGACTTAGCCTAGATTTGGAGAAGATGGGACTGCCCCCTAATATGTACTAATTGAAGAATAGACAAATTTCTTCTTTTGGAACCTGATGACAGTCAGTAAAGATGACGCTGTGCTTAATCTTTTTTTTTTTTTTTTTTTGAGATAGAGTCTCTCTACAATACTTGCTGTCCTCGAACTCCCCATGTAGACCAGGTTAACCTCGAACATCCAGAGATCCGCCTGCCTCAGCCTCCCAAGAGCTGGGATTAGAAGAGTGTGCCACTGTCTGGCTATGGCTCTCAATCTTTCCGTGCAGTGTTGCTGTTGAGTTAGAAGTGCAGCCTCAGGTCTTGTGGCCCAGGCCTGTCATCCCTAGTGGAAGCTGTAGGCTCACAAGTTCAAGTCCCACTTGGGCTGAAGAGTGAGCTCAAGAGGCCAGCCTGAGTCATTTAGTAAAACCCTGTTTTAAAATCAAAGAAAAAGAAAAATTTAGATATCCATATTAAAGGGGAACTCTTGGAAGACAGTGGCCATTGCTGGATCCAGAGTGCCATATGCTTTGATCTTTTCATGTTATAAGTTTGGTGTGTGTGTATTCATGCATGTGTGCACATGTGTGTGCAGGAACATTCGAGTACACGTGTGCAGGTGAGAAGACCATCAGGGATCCAGCGCTCTCCATCGTATTTTTTGAGGCATAGTCTTTCACTCACCCTAGAGCTCAGCAGTTCTGCTAGGCTTCCTGGCCAGTGAGCTGGAGAGATGCTTCTGTCTCCACACTCCCTTTCCCAGCTTTGCAGGTGGGCATTGCCACCTGACTTTTTCCTCTATGGATTCTGGGGCTCAAGTCCTCCTGGTTGTACAGGGAGCATTTTACCAGCAGCTGCTGTCCCTGCTAGCTTATTTTCTTTAAAGCTCCATTGTGTTATAGTGAGAAAGCGATGTCTCTGCTCTAACACACAGTACTTTGCGGGACAGGGCCTCTTCCTTCCTACCGGTGATCAGCCTGCACCATCTCTTCCAGGATGGCAAAACATAAGAGAAAAGGTCTCGAAGGGACAGGAAAGGAGAGTAAAAAGCAGAAGATAACACCGGCAGAGGAGACGCCGAGGGCATCTGAAGCTAGGCCAGGCAAGGAGGTGGCCAGCCCCACGGTAAGTGGCTTTTCGAGGCGCGTTGCACTTGGCTTGCTTGTTGCTTCCTGAAGTGTTTCTTGTGGACTGTAATGGGCCAGCCTGGCTGGGGGAGAGTCTGGGGTCTAGAGCCTCCTGGCTATATTCTCTGGAAGCTTCTCTCTTTGATGTGATCCTGGGGTGTGGTCCAGGAACCTATGTCTAAAAAACTCAAGTCTCCGGGCAGTGATGGTGCATGCCTTTAATCCCAGCGCTTGGGAGGCAGAGGCAGGTGGATTTCTGAGTTCGAGGCCAGCCTGGTCTACAGAGTGAGTTCCAGGACAGCCAGGGCTACACAGAGAAACCCTGTCTCGAAAAACCAAATAAATAAATAAATAAATAAAAAATAAATAAAAATAAAAATAAAAAACTCAAGTCTAGAGGCCAGGCCAGGCTCAGTAGTAGAGCGTTGCCTAGCACACGGGAGGCCCTGCCTTTGGACCCAGCACCAGTGCACAAACAAAACCCTTCATGCTTTATGAAAAAAAATTAGTCATGGTTCTGTACTCATGTCTGTATCCTTGTACCTCACGGCACCGCTCTGGTGGTCAGTAGACGTCTGGAGGGAGTCAGATCTCTCCTTCCACACTGTGGGTTCCAGGGATCAAACTCAGGTTATCAGGCTTGTAGCAATCACCTTTATCCATGAGCCATCTTACCGGCCCGATTGATAGATTTTAGTGCTCACCGAGAGAGGGTATGAACAGGGCTAACTACTGTTTGGGTTTGTTCTTCACTCTATGTAACGAGTATCTGCCATGTGTATGCAGCATGCAGATACATTTAAATGTAAACTTTTACATTTATTTATGTATGCCTTGTGCACCTTCATGGTGTGTGTGTTAAAGTCAGAGGACAACTCATAGAATTCAGTTCTCTCCTCCCACTAATGGGGAATTGAACTCAGGTCATCAGGTTTGGCAGCAAGCTCCTTTACATGCTGAACCATATCATTGGCCACAGATACATTTACATTTTAACATTTAAAATCTTTTTGTTACCTTCGAAGTTCTAGGTATTAAACTCTTTCACTGACAGTCATCTTTAATATCAGCTGCTTACAGCCCTGCAGACACCATCAGATACTAATATTCCAGATTTATTAGTTAATAAATAAGCCCTGCTCAGACGCACACGTGATCCCATGGCTGGGCCTTGTGGGACTTTTTGTTCTCTCGTTATGTACCTCAGACAGGCCTCAAGTTTGCAAACCCACTGCGTCCTCCTGAGTGCTGGGATTATAGGTGTGGGATATTACACCTGGCAAGGCATTTTCTATTCCACCATGTGGGGGGATGGAACCCAGGGCCTTGCCTGTGCTTAGCAACAGATCAACTGCACAGCCCCATCTCAGCCCTCCCAGGCCTCCTCAGGTTGTCCACGCACTTTCAGGGAACATGGTGTTCTAGAGGGACTGCCTGTGCGTTGTCCTTCCTCCCCACCCCCCAAACCAGGCATGTTTTAGTCAAGCCTTTCTTATGCTATATCTTAGTCTGATTGGGAGCCTGGTGTTTGCAGGGGAGCCACAGGCTGTGTTTGCTTTTCTGGCTATAGGTGTTGGGAGGCAGGAGCTCTGGGCTGTCCCCCTGAGGCCTGGGTGCACTGCCTTCCTCCATGCCAGGAATGTTCTAGTGACTTGGGCAGCAGGGCACGGAGCACCCAAGGTCAGCAGCCACACTCCTGCCGAATGGAAGCAGGAGAGGAGGCTAGGTGTGGTCCCTGTCTGGCAGGCAGCCTTTCTCTGTGGCCACTGTGACTTAGGACTGTAGCTTGGGGACTCAGGTCCTTAGGTCCCCTTCTCGTATTTCTGAAAGCCAGTCTTGCATACAGAATGAGGCCTTTCTCTGCTGAAGAATGCTGGTTTCTGTGGACAAAAACATTTCTTCCTTTGGCTCTCATGGGAAGTTGTCAGAAGGATGTGTCAGGCATATTTTCTTTTAGAGGAAAAATAGGGAGCGCCAAGCATAAGCATTCAAGAAGGATGGATAGTAAGGCCTGCAGTCGGCAATCCCAGCACCTGGGAACTCATGGAAAAGTACTATGCTGGTCCAGTCCTGTCACCCTGTGGCTCTAAATGAACTTCTGGACTCTGCAGCAGGGAAGATGCCTTTGTCCCTACTTGGGCCACTCCATTGTCCTCCCAGAAGTGTCAGTGTGGGGAACTCCCAGGGCCCGCACAGCCATTTCCCACAGCTCAGTGCTCTGCCTGAGCCAGGACCGCCCAAGTGTCCCCAAGTGCTGGGAACTTCATTGCCCCTTGGGGAGTGGTTTCCATGGAACCCAAGTTCCACTTGGGGCTCTGAGCCCTGTGGAGCTGCTGCCTGCTTAGACCACGGCCCTCTGGGTCTGATGCTGAGGCCTGGAGTGTGGGAGTGCTTTGCCCAAGTCCCTACTTGCATGGCGTCCTGACTCCCAAGGCCCTGGAGGAGTGGGTGGTTTGTGGTATCCCTGCACAGGGAGAGAGTTCAAACACCCCACTAGACTAGTTCTTGTTTCATGGCTGCTGGTCTGAGAAGGCCCTGGCCCTGCTGCCTCCCTTTTCCTGGATTCCCATAGGCAGTAGATTTGTGGGCCTTGGTGGGAGCTGGAGTTCACGATAATTCCCTACTCTTGGTGATGCTCTGGACCACAGGCATCTTGTCTTTGTCTGCTGAAGGAAGCCCATCCTGGAACCGAGGCCCCACCCTCTGCCTTAGTCTTTCCAGACCTCTTAAAGCAGAAGATGCAGCTGAAGATACAGGAAGCGCTTGTACTCAGGAAGGGCTGATCAGACTCAGGCTGGGCCACACTAGCTTGCCTGGCACCTGTTTGAGGTAGGGCAAGCCAGAAGGTGGCTGTGTTTCTGAGGATACCTCTTTGTCTCTCTGCAGTCACACTGTATGAATGCTGGTGATGGCTGTCCTACACCAGGACTGGTCAGGCTGGATGCAAAGACAGTCACCAGTCACTGGTGAAAGAAACAGAGCATGATTTTGTTGTTTGTTTTGCTTTTTTGAGAATTTGCTGTGCTTAGGGCTAAGATGATAGTAAAGTACTCGCTTTGCAATCACAAGTGTAACCGACTTGGAGGGGTCTTAGCTGAACTTGTTTCTTCTGCTAATTAAAGACTTAAAAGTCACTTAAAACCTTAGACACAGCAGGGCAGCCGCAGGTAACAAACTTTATTACACGTGATGAAGGTGGAACTCACACGCATGTGTGACAACCCCACAGCCCATGGCATCTAGGTCCCCAGGGGCACCTTTCTCATCCATGGTGGGTCTTCCCTGATAGGGCTCAGGCTGCATGGAAGCCATCAGAGCTTCTGGCTTGACCTTAGAAAGTCACATACATCTTCTGGGCATTTAGCCTGTGGTCTCTTGGGAAGCCATCCAGAAGGACTTGGGAACTTTATGTCCTGGAGTCTGCCCAAATCCCTCCCAGCCATGCTAAGACAGTGACTGTCCAGCCTAAGTTTTGTCACTACTCCTTTGGGGTGAGTAGTGCTAGTCTTTGTAACAGTGCCTGGGAACCCTATCACTTGTCTTAGGATGGACAGTGGTCAGAGGCTAAGTCCTGCCGCTAACCTTTGGACTAACGGTTAGAGTTTGATTCCTCGCTGTCCACACTAGGCTGTGTGGGTTCCTCTGGGCCTTGCTGTGAGAAGTCTTGTTTCTCTGCTCCTGCTCCCTGGCTTCACCGTCCTCTGTAATTGTTTTATCCTCAGTGGCTGCAGGTGCCTGCTTTGTGTGGTCCCCACACAGCTGTTACCTGTGTACTGGGTTTGGACCTTTGGCCCTTTTCTAGATTGGGGTCTTGGGGACGTGTTGTGGGCATCACCGTGAGTCTCACTGCAGGTCGTCTCTCCAGGAGATTCCAGCACTTGGGTTGTTGTGTCATGTGGTAGTGGTGTGTCTGGGAACCTGTGACAGAGTATCTGCACAGTGTACCTAGCAGGAGGACTGGGGAGGGGAGGGGTCTCTTTGAGTGGCAGCCCTTGCTCTACGTGTTTTAACTTATAGCCCCTCCTGTAGGCATGCTCTTATCTTACTGTCCGACTGTTTATTTTGTTGTTTCAGTCTCTTGTGTTAGCTTGCCTGTTGCTGGGATTACAGGCATGAGCCTCCTGGGCTGGCTGTGCCACTGGGGCTGGCTGTGTATGAGGTTGGTGCTCAGTTGAGAAGCATAGCTCTGTTTGAAGGACCTCATCTGGCTTCGGTTACAGAGTGCTTGCTTAGTGTGCACAAAGCTCTGGGTTCCGTCCCTAGCATGGCACAAACCAAACGTGATGCAACCTTGTAATCCCGACAGATCTCAGTAGGTGGAGGCAGTACTGTCAGAGACCCAAGGTAGTCCTTGGCTATGAAGGAAGGTGGAAGCCACCCTGGGTTGCCTGAGACTCTGTCTCCACGGGGGAGCCCCCTAAGAAGTTATCCAGTCCCTAAGTAGTCATCCCTAAACACATACACATATGAGTGACACTAAATGGACCCAGCGAAATGTACTTATAGATACATGCATGTGTATCTCTGTGAGCGTGTGTGACAGTGATAAAGAAAGATCTTGAAGTTGAGAGGGAGGGGTGCAAGGTGAGGAGCTGGGGCCAGGGATGTGTGGGGTGAGAGCGAGTAAGTATCGTACTCATGTATGAAATTCTGGAAAAAGAATGACAAATACTAAAAATAAAAGCAAATAAAAATAAGCTATAAGCAAGTGCACGTGCACACACATAGTACAAAAAAATCAGAAAATTCCAAAGAAGGAAAAAAAAAACCCATCAAAACTCTATTCGAGAAATCTGAGGCAAAAGCAACAACAAAGAAGTGTGTGCATTTCTCATCGAGATTTACTTAATATTTTATGAACATCCGTCTTCACAGTCATTGTCCATTCATAAATTATCTTTGGCTAAATGTCTGCTCAGCTTTTACTTTTTTATCTTTTTTTTTTAAATAATGGAATCCATTTTTAATTTTATATAGTACTGGGGATTGAACCTAGGG